ATGAAACCCCCGAAACTCGGCTTTCCCCTCTCTTCCCATTCACATGGAGCATCCCATCAGTCAGTCAGCCATCTTACCACGTAACCCGACGGAGCGTATTTGTTGTCCAAAAGGTAGAGTGTAAGATACGAGGTCGATCCGGGGAAACGAGGAGGTACAGTGCACCACAGCACTACAGCCTCCCGCATCAGCTGATTGATACATAGTACCGATTCTCTGGCCGTGGAGATGTTGGAAGTGCATGAAGAACAGTGAATTCATGGTTCAATCTGATGTATCCGTTGGAGACCTACTAAACAAGACGTAAAGAGAGAGAGAGAGAGAGAGAGAGAAAGCCTCCCAACCAGTTCAGGCAAGTCTCAGGTCTAGTAATGCGGATCACCGGATAGGACTTGAGCCTACCAGCTTTTTTCTCCTCCGCGTCATCGTTCTTCTGGACGTACCGTCTGTCTCTGTCTACTTGGTCAAATTTATTTAATAAGGATCTTGTGCCCAAGGAACGCTACCCGCACCGCCTCATTCTGGACTTGTCGTATTTTGTCATTGATCCTTTTGCTGACAGAACGACGACGACGACGACGAGGCGATATTATAGTATTCCGCTTTTGCACGATTGCACTATTTCTGATCACTGCCCTCTCCATCCCCCGTCGCACCCCCGCATTATTATCATTCTCGGCGCTTCTGGCCTTGTCCTGAGTCCTGACTGTCTTCACTTGCTGAAAGCGGTTGACCTTTTCTTCTTCTTGGGGACTTCCTTTTTTTTTTCGCGCACCCTCTCCACGTTCCACCTCCCCAAGATTTCGTATCCGTGCTATCGAATCTCCGATCCATTCACTACTATTGATTGCGGCTGCGGTGTGCGTGTACCAACCACGATTTGCAAAGAGACACATCGCTCCTTGCCGGCGTGTCGATCATCGCCCGAACCTAGAAAAGATCCCAAACAACCACCAACCCCGAAAGGAGACAACGCCCCAAACGAATTGATTATTATTCTTTTTCGACGAGTGCGAGGCAGAAAAAAAAAGCCAAAAAAAGACCCCAATATCCACTGGTCGCACGACTACGTGCATTGGCTCTGTGCGTCAAACACTGGCTCTGCGACTAATTCTAATTTTCCCTATTCCTATAATCTTCACTGCTGTTGCTGGGATTTGACTAGTATATTACCTTTTTTATCCCTCTCTTTTTAAAGAGTAAGTCCCTTTTCTTTTTTGTCCAGAGTCAAAACGTGCTCACTTCTTTCTTTTTTCAAACCTTTTTACCTCCTGCTACATTCTTCTTCAATCTCTTCCAATTCTTACTTCACTGCGCATCCTGTCCTTCCTCTTGTTCCTCCTCTCCTTCCATTCCTCTCTCCATACTTCCCTTCCGTCTTCCGCCACTACCCGTTTGGAAGAGACACAGTTCCTCCGCCTCCTCTACACTACACACACTGAGAAAGATCTTGGCCCTGCCCATCACCTCAAACCTGCTTGCTCCTTACACAACCACAAAGAATGCAGCCTGTTGATTGGCATTGTTCTTGTGCACAACAATGACGGCTCACGTTTCTCCTCTCCCACAGGTTCTTCTGGGGTCGGTTACTAGTCCCGGTGGTACAAATACTCAATTCCCCGACGGAGTGTCCGAGTCAACTCCGTTTCACGTGAGATCCGATCGGCGGCCTTCACTCGAGACATCAACACTTGCTAGCGATACTAGTTCCACTGTCGGGCAACCACCGGCCAGACGAGGCTTCCGTCGTCGCGCCTCGATCCTCAAGAAGTTGGCGGGTCCGCGGGAAAACGCAAAGCGTCTGTTCCGCTTGGGGTCCCTGATCCACTCTGCGCCCTCCATTACGCCACCATCCGCTTCCTCCCCTCCTCTACCTTCTCCTCCTTCTCCTCCTTCCCCTCCTCCTCCAATGACTCAAACACATTCCCATCGCCCCGTGTCTGAGCTCGTTTTGAACCCCAACGATGCCACAATGCTCACCACCTCGGGACTAAGAGTTGGCCGATTGCGCTCGCATTCTTCCTCCACTGTCTCTTCCAGCCAACCTTATCCGGCTTCCGCTCATTCCATCCCGTCTTCCGATCCGGCCGTGCCGTTCCCTCCTCTGCGCAACGAGAAGATAGTCGCCACAGGAAGTGGGATCTCGGTGGGAATCGCACTCACTGAGCCAGTGCTATATCTGCAAGGATATGATCAGAATGACCCCAGTACTAAGAAGTCGGCCATTCTTCGCGGGCAGTTGCATCTTAAAATCACCAAAAGCGTGAAGGTGAAGAAGATTTCGATCTGTTTCCGTGGGCATGCGCAGACTGATTGGCCAGACGGTAACTCTTCTCCCTCTTTCATCGATCATTCTTACGCGGATCGACTGACAAGTGGTTTCGTTGACAGGTATCCCGCCCAAGAAAGTTCACTTTCACGATAAAAAGGATCTCGTCACACATGGAGTAATGTACTTCAACCATGGCGATACGGCACTGATGCAGAATGATTACGGTGCGCATTTCTATCAGCACGCTAAGCCGGTAACCTCTGTGACGGGCAAGGAGGGTCCGACTCTGATCACCCGGGAGCTGCTTTCCAAGACCGGATCCTCAACCTCGTTGAGCCACACCGGCCAGTTCTCTGCCAAGGACCTCAAGCGACTATCCCTAAATTCCAACCACTCTCGGAGTTTTGGTAAGAATGATCCGCCACCTCCGCCGGTCCATCCGCCACGCAACTACCGCCTGTTCCCCGTGGGCGATTACCTCTACAGTTTCGAATTCCCGATCGATGGTTCTCTCCCAGAGACAATCAAGACCGACCTGGGATTCGTTCAGTATGACCTTGAGGCGATAGTCGAAAGAGCCGGTGCGTTCCGGCCCAATTTGCTCGGTAGCCTAGAGGTTCCGGTGATCCGCACCCCGGCGGAGGGCTCGCTGGAGCAGGTCGAACCGATCGCAATCTCGCGCAACTGGGAAGATCAGCTGCACTACGACATTGTGATCTCCGGGAAATCCTTCCCTCTGGGATCGCAAGTCCCTATTGCTTTCAAGCTGACCCCCTTGGCCAAGGTCGAGTGCCATCGGATAAAGGTCTATGTGACGGAGAATATTCAACACTGGACTGCAGACAAAAGTGTGCATCGTTTTCAGCCAGCGAAGAAAGTTCTACTGTTTGAGAAACGAGCCGACTCTGCCAGCACCAGTACCTATCCTGGAAGCTCGATGCGAGTCACGGCAGGGGGTGGCATTGACTGGGACCAGCGCGCAGCCGCTGCTCGGGGTCAGGAGGTGGTGGATCGAAACCGAACCAATCTTCTTGGCAATCTGTCTAGCGACTCGGGAGTTGGTCCGACCGAGATGGAATTCAATGTCCAGTTGCCGAGTTGTCAAGAAATGCGCAACCGGGACGAGTCTCAACGACTACACTTTGATACCACATACGAGAACATCCAAATAAACCACTGGATCAAGGTAAGATATTTCCATGCTGATTGGCAATGTTCGCAATCTAATTTGAAATTCAGATTGTTTTACGCCTCTCCAAGGTCGATGAGAGAGACCCCGGCAAGCGAAGACACTTCGAGATCTCTATCGATTCTCCGTTCCACCTGCTATCCTGCAAGGCCACGCAGGCCAACATCTACCTCCCGGCGTACACCTCGCCGGAGTCGGAGCCAACCCCACAGGCACAGGAGTACGAGTGCGGTTGTCCTGGCGCACCCCTGATCAACCGGGCGGGCTCCAGCCGACAATCGCTTTCCTCCTCCGACCGAGATGAGCGACCCAACGGAGGCGCTGTCACGAGAAGCTTCACCAACAGCTCCGGTGGCTTAACCCGGCCACCACAGGCGCATCTGGCTGATGAACCGGTCGACCGCCCACCGCGACCGATGCATCTCCTTCGCGCGCCGTCATTTGCACCTCCTGCCTTCGAAGAGCTCGAGCCACCGCCGCCTCTCGTCACTCCTCCCCCGGAGTACAATACCATCGTTGGAGACAATGATCGAGAGGCCGTGCTGCAGGATTACTTCTCGCGGTTGTCATTCTATGAGGAGCACGCCGATGACGATCGGGGCCTTGGGCGTGTCGATGTACCTCTGACTCCGGGAGGCCGTGTAAATCGCAGCATGGACGTTCCCCGCGAGTGGGTACGCCTGGAATAGAATGTCACCTCCTAGCCCATGGCAGGCTAGGTCTTGATGTCCCGATGATACTGGAATAGACCTCACGACGTTTATGCTTTTTCTTTTTTTTCGTCTATCTTATCGAGCTTACAGGAAAGGATCGGAGTTGACGAGTCACTGAAAGATACCCTCTGCACATATGGAGGCATGTAAAGGTGACTTCCATGATGAATATGTGTCAAGCTTACCTTTTGAGTTTCGGGGAAGGGGCGCAGATGGACTGGATATATGGTCGGCGCCTGTACTACCGGATTGCATTACCTCGAGCGATCATTCCTTTTTTTCTCATTTCTCAATCTTTTGACCATATAAACACTTTTATCGGCATGATTACATTTGCTTTTAGATACCACCCTTCAGAACTTTGATCTGAAAGAATACAAGATGCGATGTCTTAATGTCGTCGCAACGCACCACAGATGTCTCCATGGGTTGGTTCATACATAGTAGACCAAAAACGTGGACCCACCGACCTACAGATGGGGATCCCTTACTTAAGACTACTGGTAGTGCTGTTAAGGGCTTGCAGATGCGTAGATGGATTAGCTTCGATATAGGCAGCAAGGCAACAGGCGTGACAGGTGGTAAGGTGGAGGAGGGACTTTTGACACTCATTAATCTCTTGGAAGTCGCATGGAGCTGCCTTTTTTGGGTCGAGCTGTGGCGCTCCATTCCGCCGCCGCCAATTGTTCTGGCCTTTCTTTTTTTTCATCGGCCTCTGCCGTCATTCTGCCTTCCCCATACATCCATCTATCTATATCCCGTCTATCTTCCTATCTGCCTATCTTCCCTCTCTCTTCATTCGGTTCATGTTCAATTGATCTTTCTCTTATTTCCCATCTTGCAAAGCTTCGAGTAAATTCTCATCTCAACGGTGCACCACAAATCTTTCGAGTTCAGGTCACAAGATCCCAGCGGACAAGCGCCCATTGTTACACCGAGTTAGGTAGTTAGTTGGTTGGCTGTATGCAGACTTTCTACTGCGCTGCAAGTGCTGAGTCAAATCTATCCGTTCTCTCGCTCATTCATTGAACTATCATCGCCTCGCCTCTGCCCACCCCCAACATAAGCTTACCTGTTACTCTACGTTGCTGCAGCTGTAGAGGACCCAACACCAACATGGCTATTGAAGTTGTCCCCCTCACAGAGGCCGACATCCCCGACGCCATCGAGATCATCCAATCGGCCTTCGCAGAGGATCCATATTTCAAGTGGGTGTTCGATGCTGCCAATGTAAGTTTTCATTCCTTGAATTTGATGCGCAAGGGTTCTTCAATTCCCTCCCCAACAGAGGATGACCTCTGGGAATGATAATAGTCAATAGAAAGAGCAAGCAAAGCTAATCGGTCTCCTCCTGGCGCGGGTCGCGTGGGGTTTCTCCCCGACCAACGTTGCTCGTCATGTGAGGTCCCCCCCAATGCACAATAGTTCAATAAAGAACGAAATCATGACTCTCTCGCTGTCCGATGCCGTTGGGGCATCAACAACGCCATCTTTCAAGTCGCCAAGGAGACACCGGATGACGATACGGGCGATGCGACCGGCGACCGAACGGCCACCTCGCGCGTCGTGGGTGTCTCCTGCTGGCTCCCGCCCCATTCACCCTCCGAGCCCGAGAGCTGGTATACCTGGTCGCAAGGGTGGCTGCTCACTGCTCGCCAGGCATTGAACAACCTGCGCCATTGGGGCCGCGGGGGCCTGCGCACGAATCGCTATTGGATCTGGAAGGCCCGTCAGCATGAGGCCCAGAGCCAGATCTGGGATGACCCCAAGGGGTATTATTTCTGTAATATCGTGGCCGTCCGACCGGGCACGCAGGGGAAAGGTATTGGTCGGAAGCTCTTCGAGGCCGTGACGGATAAGGCGGACCAGGAGGGGGTCAAATGCTACCTGGAGAGCTCGCGGAATGAGCCCAACGTTCGGATTTACGAGAAGATGGGGTTTGAGATGAAGAAGGAGATGGAGTGTAGGGATGGGGAGGATGTGTGCATGGTGAGTGGACGTTCAATTATCCCATTACTGGGGCGGAATTGATGGTGGTGTGGTGTCTGTGTGTATGCCTGCTGATCTCATGTCTAGCTCTATTGTATGGTGCGCAAGCCGAGGTCGAAGTATTAGTCGAGTATTGAAGAAGAAAAGCCACGACGGAAAGGAGGCGGAGTCGAATTCCACCCACACCCACGGCGTTTGCTTATCTGACACTCAATGGCGCAGCGCGAATCGTCTTATGTACAGTACTAAACGCTAAGTTACTAGATCACTATGGATGGAACCACTGCCTACTAATCAACGAACCCATGTTCTTGTTCAACTGAGACATGAACGTGGCTTTGCGACCGCCAAATTTGTTGGTCTGACTCAAGAAACTCAACTTGGTCTGCTGCATGAACCGGGATCGTCCCAACTCCTTCTTTCTATTTCATGTGAATTCGTTTCGATGGAGCAAGCCCCCCAGCCCCCCTTGTTGGGTTTCTGAGTGAAAACGGCGAACCGTTTGGTCGGAGAGCCACTGACGAAACCGAAACCCGGGGTAGTTACGGTATGTTTACACGCTGGAGACTTGGCTGCCACTGCACAACTCACTACTTTGTACGTGATATATAATAACATCACATATAACCAATATGTCATATGCTGACTGATGCTTCTGCCAGAACCTGCTAGACACTCAAATTGTTTTCTTCAGCCATCGGATCTGCAGGGCTACTGCGTATGGCCGTCCTTGCCGGTGGTCCGAGCCTCCGGGTTAGTATACTTTATTATACGAGTCAGACACAATCCGTCGTTTCACCAACTCCTAGTAGGTCACCTTCTGACTATCTTTGGATCAAAATGCCTGGCCTAGAACACGTCAGGGGCCGAGGAAAGGCTTTTTCGTAGGCCGACCGTCTCATCTTGATTACTTGCACAAAGGTTAAAAGTGATACGTAAATTCTGCAACATGATACCACGCAACTCAACTTCCCAGTTTCAAGCCAAACCTTCCCCCTCTTTTGCTGGGAGCTGTCGACGTTCGCTAACTCAGATCGAAGCACTGTGATATATCCTGCCGACGTTCGCTGGATTGAAATACTGTGATATATCAAGCTGGATCGAGCGTCCAAGCCACTGACGCTTCTCTCCAACTCTCGTTCTTCGTGCCCTGCGCAGCTGGTCTGTTAGCTTTTTCTTCCCCTCTTCACCCTGAAGAATTCCGCTCGTTTTTGAGCGACTCATGAACCAACGCTGAGCCCTGGTGGTTAACGACACTTACGAATGCCTTTTGCCTCGATCTCGCGACGAACGCGTCTGTCACACACTCTTTTCCAGCCATTTAGGCGCAGCCTCCAGAAACGAGGCCATGCTCTCTCACTGTCAGGACGGGTCGGACTGGCCCTGGGTCTCTTGGGTAAGCCGCACTGATCGACTGAAGGAAATGTTCCGAACCTTAAGCACTGACTACCGGCATGCGGCACAGCGGCCCTTATGCTAGGCGTTCTTCTCGCAACGTGGGTTGTGTTGCGAGTCAAGCGCGGGCCGGGCGTCACCCTCCGGACCCTGTTCAACCGCCAACCGCTTCCTGCCCGCAGACCCGAAAGCGACCCATCTGACCCAGAGGCCGCAAAATCCCTAGACGACCTCTCCCGTCAAGACAGCCTACCACAACACCCGTCCCCACGTCGCATATCCAATGTCTCTCCCCGCCGACTCTCCCAGCGCATGTCTCAGCACGAATACATGAGCCTCCACGAGAAGACAACCAACTCGCCAACGACCACCATCCGCGCCACACCGGCAGCAGACCACCACCAATCCTCCACTAACCCGGGGAGCCCAATGATCCCGCTGCGCCCGATAGCACGGTTGGGGTCGGTCCGCACCATGTCCGAGGCGGACATCCGGCGCGTCCCCCCGCCGTCACCCCTTCGGCATGCCGCCGCCGCTGTCGCCGGGCTACGCACGAGCACTCGATCCGCGGGCACGGGCACAGGCATGGGCACAGCGCCCCAGGCGATCCATCCGCCGGCGTGGAATTTGCCCTGGAAGGACGAGGAGTTCTATGTCCCTGATAGTTCCGAGGACCATATCATCGTTCTGCCCTCGCCACGTGATCTGAAGACGTTCCGGTTGACATTGCATGCGTGACGTCGTTCGTCCTAGGATTTCATTAAAAGTGTCTGGTATTTGAAGGGGTAATGTATAGTGTGTGAGATCCGTGACCGGGGATGACTGTGCAATGTATGAAGCGATAATGCCTATGAAGGTGTACTTATTAGGAGACATGTAATGATTATGACTGACTATATTGATTGAGGTGCATTGGGTTGCTGTTGATGTTTATTGTTGCGCGAGTTATATGTTCATAGAATTCGGTGTATTTAGCTACTTAGGTCCAATGAGTTCGGGTGTCCTTCCTCGCAAGGTGTTATTTGGTCTATTGTCTCTAATGTACACGATGATCGTAGGTGGTTGCAGATCATGGCTGAATGATGTTTTGTGTTTGACGAGCTAGAAGTTGGATCTGCGACCTAAGCGACGATCTACACAACCTTACTCTATGGCAGAAGTACCGTACATCAGACCCGACTGTAGAGTCTTACGTACTTGAAAACACACCCCTTAGAGAAAGCAATTGAATCTTTTCTCCTTTCAATAGCCCAAAACAATCTTCGAAGGGATTCTCAGAAAGGATACAGACTCTTCCCACCCCCACTACGACCCCCTTATTTCACAGCCACGTACGCTTCGGCATTGTCCTCCCTGAAAAGCAGTTGTCGGCCCCTTGAGTCATGGGCCTGTTTGAGATCTTCTTTGTTGATCCGGATTGTCGGGTTGAGATCGGTTTCAGGATGGAGGGTGGGTACCCACTTTGTTCCAGTTGGTTGATGTTCGATGTTCTGGAATAAGTGGAGAGGCGTGAGATTTTGTTTACTCAATGTGGGGTGGGTGGTGTTTGGGCTTGTGGTTGTGTCTTATGATATATGTATGTGCTGGGTTGAGTGGGACTTGGATGCTGAGTGGTAGTTTTTCGGGCCTACTGAAAGGTAAGTCAACCTAGCTTTCAACAATGCAACTGTATACCTTAGTTACTGTGTCAATCCGTCAAAGTTGTCTTGCTGTCGGACTCATTCGTGCTCATTTGTTGGTTTGAGTTGACAGAGTGACCTGTGGGTAAGTTATCTTGTTGTCGCGCTGGTTTGGTACCCTGCGGAGTACTCCGTACTGTACTTAGTGATATGCAGGTGGTACTAATAAACCCTTGCCCTGGCCCTGACCCTGACAAAGGTCCACTGCACTGTGATGTCGCATAAGCTCTTACGAATTGCAGGGTTGATCTGATGGCATCGCTCAATGAGATTCCAATCCATCGCCCCTACCGGTCGAATCTCTAACAGAAGCAGGTCATGAGGTGATCAGTCTACAACCTCGCATCTCTCCTCCGACTCGAAGAAGTGATTCTTTGTTGAGTTCTTGATTGCGATTCGTTCTCACACCTCAGCCATGGCGTCCCTACGCATTTCGGCTGCCATCTTGCCAAGAACCATCTCACCTCAGCTCTGACCTCCTGTTGGTCATCTTGCCCCCCCACTGTCCGAAGACCCTGCTTGTCATCCATGATCCTGGATCGGTCCCATCGCCCACATCCCGGTCTGTTTGCTTCGGGGTATAAAAATCGGTTAGAGGCCGCTATCATTGGTCAAACCAGGTGACAGAAGCCCATCCATCAAGTTGACATGTCCAAACCCACAATCAATGCGGATGTGCTTATCACACAGTTTCACCCGCGACAAGTTGACTCGAGCATGGCCCAGTGGCAGTTGCAGTGGCCCGTTCCAAGTTACCCGCCGGGATTGCATGCCAGACTGCATCCCACCCTCAATCCTCCGATTAGCGCCCTTGGGACGGTCAGCCACCGCGGAGAATTCTCCGCCCCTCGAATTCCAAAGACCCTGCATCAGACTAGGTACCTAGTATGCTTCCACAAATTAGGTGATGAGATCTGAAAGTGACCCCCCCCTCTGAAGTAGGGCGGTCCCAGATCGTGTTTGGTGCTGTGCCTGAGTGCCATGCGACTGTGATGTGCGCCATGCCGGTCGAGAAGCCAGGGTAAACAGGGTACAGGTACCGGTACCTGGGGGCTATTGGACCCTTTCTTCTCGGTCCTGTCCGGAGAAAGAAATTGATGACCCCGCCTTACCAGGCGTCGGATAATGAAAGTCGGACCCTGGCTGGCTTAGGTTCTCGTTGATTTCGAACGCTACCGCCAATCAAAGGGACTTTTATCGAACTGAAACAGCCCACCACTGCAGCTATTGCTCATCGCTCGTGGTTTGACAGAATCAGACTTGGCAGGTACCGGTACTTGGGGAGTTGCAAGGGTCGCTTTATTGTGGACAAGAAGAAGGGCCACATCGTTATTTCCACCATGCCGAGCTCATTCACCTCAATGGTGAGTTGTGAAACTGGGGCTTGTCTTGGTAAGCCCTGGCCAGCGCATCTGGATGTTGAATGTCAATCGGTGAATACTACGGTAGCGCCATGGGATGGGGGGCCCCCTCTTTCCCTGCAGGTGTATAAGTATGAACTGAACCCCTTCCAGCCTCGACTTGGGGAGGTTTCTCGTACACGACGTTCCAGATTTGATATCTGTGACACTCCTTTCCTTTCTGCTGCCCAGGCTTTTGACAATTTCCAGGTTTGATATCTGTGACACTCCTTTTTTTCGTACGACTTTCAACACAAATCCCGGGTTTGATATCCGTGCCACTCCTTTCTTCTTTCGCAAACGTTTCGTTCCTTACCTGAAGACAGTGAGGTCATTGACTGCTCACCATGTCGTTCCTTTATCAATTCATTCTTCTGGCCTTGAGTCTATTCCTGGGAGTCGGCGAGGCCTCGAAGTGGAGGAACCCTCACCATGCTACCACCTCGACAGCGAGCCCCAACCCTAGTTCTACGGCCCTCAGTCTCACCGCAACTACGATCTCCTCTCCCTCCACCGCCGTGACTTCCTCCTCCTCCAGCAGCAGCAACAGCAACACCACAATCTGGCAACCCCAAGTCGGCACAACCTGGCAAATCATCCTCACCGACCCGATCGACCCCAGCACCATCACCACCAGCAGCAGCAGCTCTACTGAAGTCTACGACCTCGACCTCTGGCTCAACGACGCCGCCACCATCGCCGACCTCCACGCCCAGCACCGCAAAGTCATCTGCTACTTCTCCGCCGGCAGCTACGAGTCCTACCGCCCGGACAAAGCCGCCTTCCCCGCCTCCACCCTCGGCAACACGCTGGACGGCTGGCCCGACGAGCAGTGGCTCGACATCCGCTCTGCGGACGTCCGCGCCGTCCTCGCCGCCCGCCTCGACCTCGCCGCCCAGAAGGGGTGCGACGGCGTC